TGATACTATACACTACCCAGTATCACAGAAGATGTATGCTCTGCATCATCATTTCTCATTTTAATATTTTAATATTATTATTTTAAAATATTTCATTATAAAAAACAACAGCTTCCAGTGAAATCTAAACTGTCCTTTTTTTCTCTGAAGGCATTCAACCCTCACTTGCATTGGATATGTAAACAGTGACTCCCTGCACTTGACTTGGGCTGACATGAAGGAATAAGGTGCATTTTTAAGCACCGCCTGCGTGTGGCGATAACGTGCCGGCTGGTACTCACTGGTATACGTGATGTTGAAGCCGCGCCCAGTGTTGGAGTGGTCAGACTGGAACTCCAGCCGCATGATGTGTCCGTTACTGGCAATCTGAGACGGCACGTCCTTCCCGGAGAAGGTGCCGAAGGTGGTGGGTTCTGGCATGCCGTCATCCTTCACTGTCAGGTAGTCGAACTGCGGCTCCACATCGAAGTCGCTGAAGATAAGGTGAATGCGGCTGCCCGGCTCGGCGATGATCAGCCACACGCAGTTCATGTTGTTTCCGTACTCGTCCGGGTAGTTTGGGGACAGGATGATGCCGGAGGGAGCCGTGAAGTTGAAGAAGCAGGAGACTTCAGAAAAACGTGAGCAGGTCTGATGTGAGGTGTTGCCCAAACTCAATCTGGGCATCATGCTCGGAATTAGCCGGCAATCTAGATAGTTTTTTAGCTCCCAGTTAATCAGCTAAGTGACCCCCACCAGCTATGAAACAAGATTAGCAGAACAAGATTAGCAGCCCAGAGCTATTGCAAAACAATGGCAGAGAGGGGGGTTAATGACTCAAAAAGGGCACGACATAAGAGCCATTCTGGATCCTGCGTTACCCTGTGTGACATACCTACAGAAAATTAATGCAGGTATCCACCTTAAAAAGGGCCATTAAGGGGCCTGTCTGATGGGCCATCTGCTCTAAACACGTCTGAGAATGCTGTCACATGCCTGGGCCCCGTCCTGTTCGTTTTGTAAGTAAGGCTTACAGACACAGCTGGGCTTGTTCCCGGACCACTGGTTATTCTGCTGGCAGGAGATGGCCCGCTCGCCCACCAGCTCGAAGGCCGCCTGACACTCAAAGGTCAGCACGTCCCCATGCAGGAAGCGTGTCCCCATCCGCTTGCCGTACGCTGGCACGCCGGGGTCCCCACAGCCACCCTTGTCGATCTCTGGAAAAAAGAACAAATGCGTCGGCTCAGTTTTTCCAAACAGAAAGCAATACCTCAGTGACCCATTCTTTCGCAAATATTTGTAGAAGCAGTCTGCATGCCTAGTGCTACATTGTATACACCTGTGGCTATGGAAGTGATTGATGATTCAATGATTTGGAGGGGTGTCTCAATACGTTTGGTAATATAGTGTTGATGGTTTTCCCCCCATTATCTGGATGAGCCAGTCAACGTGCACGTGTTATGTAGAGGGCCCCGTCGCTGGCATTTAAAGACGGCTGAGGTCTTCTAATATATTCCCAAAAAATATGCAGAATACTTTTAGAAATAACAATTTAATGAGCACGGTAATTTGGTGATTCCCACACTCAACTTCCATTCATTTGAGCTGATTTATTCATTAATATATTCAGAGTCCAGAAGTGTTCAAATTAAACTCTCAGGAAGCACAATAATTTTGTCCATGGACAATTTCAGATAAACTATTTAAAAGCGATTTATACTTTCCAAATAACATGTTAATCATTCATTTCTGAATTAAAATAAAACACATCAGATGACAACGAGATCTCCCAAGAACTTGGCTCGAGCTTCCTGACGTCACCGCAAAAACGGACCTTGCCCCTGAAAAATGGCAGCACCAGAGGCTGTGGGAGGTCACGGCACACAGGGTCACAGCGGGGGGGGGGCACGGCAGACACAAAGGACCAGAGGCTGTGGGAGGTCATGGCACGCAGGGTCACGGCGGGGCAAGGGGGCATGGCTGGAGAACCATCACATTGGCTACACTGGAGACAGATCACACCTGCTAAGCTTGTGCCGTAAATGAATGACAGGGAACACTGTTAACAGCAGGTGGATATTTTATGACTGTTGTACATGACACGGTTCTCACAGAACCGTGTCAATGAAGGTTCGGTATGGTTCTGCCATCATGGCCTCATGAAAGGACCCTCACAGAAAGGTCTGAATTTATATGTGTTCACACAAATGATATGTGGTACCTGAGGGGTACAGACCACCCTGGGGGGGCGGGGGGTGGCGTTTTTGCTGAGTACAGGTCGGCTTAATTCATTCAGGGACTTTGATTTCATATGGCTGGGTTCTCCTCCTAAGTTCTCATGGGCCGGAACACGGAAAGAGTAGCCCCACATGAGCTACCCTTAGTCGTGCTGTCAGCTATCATGCAAAAACATAGTTTGAAAAATCAAGAAAGCATGTGCAGTGTATTCTGAGTTGTCCCTACAGATGTGCGAGTGCAGCACAGCGCTAACCTACTGGTGAAGGATCTCCCCATCCAGCCTCGCAGAGAAGCTGATGCCACCGTCTCCAGCCAATTCGCCAGGGAATTGTAAAACCTCCGGCCTATTTTTCCCACATTGATGAGACCAGCGAGCCCAACATGTAGCATCCCCGCTGGTCGGACAGCTCCATGCTGTGCCCAGAAAGTACTGTTTTCCCCTCAGAATGAAGAAAAAATGTAAAAACGCAAAGCAGCCAGAACAGATGCTCTAAAATTGAACCGGAGATTGAATCTAAACCCAGCTTGGTGAAAAATATTTGCACTGGTGACTCAATCCATGAGTGTGTTTCGTACCTCGCTGTCTAGCCAAGAGGACCCGGGAAGGGGCCACTCGGATAGGACAGCACAGACGGAGACGCTCGGGATTTAGGGGATTTAAGAGGATATCCTGACACTTTCCTCATTCTGAAATGATAGATTCCATGCAGGCTAGCTTATTAGCGATGATAGCTTTATAGCCTGAGCCTTCCCTAATTTACCGCGTGACGGGCAGGACAGCACCCAGTCCATTATGAAGATTCCTCATCCATCTCGCAGCCATATGTCGTCTCTGTCAGCGCCTCCCGATTCTCCCTCGACCGGATCTGGCCCAAGCTAGATTTGCTGCTCTTGGTGGGGAGGACACAGGTCCCTGAGGGACACCGCGGCTCCCAGGTGAGCAGGGTGACGCTTTTAACGCTCCATCCCACCAAGCGGGCCAACCCGCTGATGTCGCTGTCAAAACATGACAATGCCATGTCACACCCGGAGAAGTGTGGGAAAGAAGGGAGGTCGCGGCTGATTCACTGGCCCGCGTCACCGTGAGCGACTGTCCATCCAGCGCAGTAACTTTGGGACACATCCATTTTAATTCTGCCATGTTCACATCATTGGAAGGACAAGAAATGGCATTAGTCCCTGGGTGTGTCTGGAATAAGACACAAGTCAACAGCTGAAAAGACACAAGTCTATATAATGTGTTTTTACAATCATAAATGTATTGATTTTTGTGTAATTATAGGAATAAAAGACAGAAGAATTTGAGCAATCATGTGCATGCGGGAAGGTTATGATCAATAGCGTGTAGTTAGCATCACTGGGCAATAAACCAGTGCCTAAGTTAGGGGCATTAGCATTACTGAGCTATAAATTGATGCCCAGTGGGGGAAGGGTTATCATTACCAGGCTATGAACCAGTGCCCAGTGGGGGAAGGGTTATCATTACCAGGCTATGAACCAGTGCCCAGTGGGGGAAGGGTTAGCATTACCAGGCCTGGGAACCAGTGCCCAGTGGGGGAAGGGTTATCATTACCAGG